TTCCTTCCTTCCTTCCTTCTTCCTTCCTTCCTTCCTTCCTTCCTTCCTTCCTTTCTTTCTTTCTTTCTTTCTTTCTTTCTTTCTTTCTTTCTTTCTTTCAGCAGGGATTAACTCAGCCTAAAATAAAACCTGTGAATATTGAGCTGTAGATATCTTTCATGGGAAATATACTTTCAGATATTACATATTTTAGTGATTATACTTTCAAAAAAGCAGTATTTTTTATTTTTTAAAGAAAATAATTTAGAATTTCTCTTTTGCAAAATGGAATTGGTAAAGAGAAGTATTACGAAGTCCCTAGCCTTTTTTTAAAAATATGATTAGTAAATTTAGAAGTAGCATTTACTTACTTACTCTCTGGGTCCAGTTGGTACTACATTACATTATATTGGTCCAATGTGTTGCATTAAAGGTATTAAATATTTTTCCTTCAAGGAAATTTCCCTATATCTTCACTATATGACAGTCTCAGGGTTCTATCTGTTAATTCCTTCATTAGCAGAATAATTTGATGATGTGGCTTCTGCGTAGCTAATGACAAAACTTTTTTTTCAACTTTAAAAAATATTTAGGCTACTTAACAAAACCTTGCTACATCTTTGGTTTCTGCAGCTAAAAAGAAACCTTAAATTAATATTTTATTGACATATTAACATTGAAAATGCACTTGACATCTTTGTTGGCTATCTGTTGATTGGGGAAGACAAATTAATTATGCATAGTATGGTCAGCATTTAAAGAAAGAATGGTTTTTGTCATATGTTTAATCATATATGTCATCCCTCATACTGTCCCATGATATGGAAAGGACCATGTCTCCAGGGTTGAGATCTCAAGGGATAAGCTGTAGGGTGAGACTTGGAGTATAGATTCCATGGTGATTACCATAGCGATCAAGCTTATGCTGCTCATTTTTAAGACTACAGCTGTATAACATTCAGTTTAAAAACTGAAAATAAAAATTCTAAGCTTGTGTCTCATGGTGGAATGCTTGGCTTTAATCAGCATAGTTGCTTATATATTTTGTCAAAATATTCAAATAAATTTTAAGTTTAATTTATTTTTTAAAAAATATGGAGTTAAGGCTAAGGAATCTTCTGCTTCCTATTTCAACTAATTTCATTCTCTGTACCAAGCTCTGATAACTCTGTAAAGCAAAGCTGTCAAGCCTAAGTCTTTGTTGTACAATATTTTACTAATTGGAAGGAAATTATACTGTCACTATTGCAGTTGTTTTGAAAAATAACCATCACATTTTTTAGAACAAGAGCCCCTTTCCTTGGTAAAAATGAATATTGGTCTTTAAAAATACTTTATATTACGTGTGATTTCATATCAAATACTTTTATTGGCAGTTACTCTCTATCCAAAGAATAAATGGCTTTATTCTATATATAGTGAATTGAAATGTTTTAACTGTTACTGCTTGATTGTATATAAAAAAGGTTTATTCTATTTTTATTGAAGCTTACTGAAAGTTCAACTAGTCTATAAATATAGAAATATTTTATAAATATTTTTTCTCAGGTGTTTCAGGCACCTGTTCAAATCTAGATTTGACCCATGTAGCAGAAATCACTTCTAACTGCTGCAAAACAGTTGCTCAAAATGCCAAAGGATAGTGAGTAGGTCTACAAGTGATGCCTACTGTTCAGTGCAGTTTAAAGGGAATTATGGGTCTCTTTTGTTAGTACCATTTCTGTGCCCATTAAATACTCTTAATCAGCTGTTGAGTGTTTCAAACAATAACATCAAAACTAAGCATAGTTTATCATTCTTCCTTTGAATTTTCAAACTTCTAGATGTTTACTAAACTGAAATATACTCCCATTTTCACTCCAACCTGTTGACATTATGGTAATTAGAATAAAAAGCTTCTGGTGTGAAACGAAGTGAGTGATCACATAAAGTGCTTCACACGGTGGCTATTATGACTTGAATTGGAAGTGCTCTAATAACTTAAATCCAACAAGGTAAAATAAACATCATCAAGTGTAAATTGCTTGTGTGTGTTGGGTGTGTGTGTATTGTACAACAGCAAGCTTTTAAAAAGTTGGTGCTGCATTTCCGTGTATTGGCAGAAATTTGAGAAAGGATGTAAGATCCCCTTTGGGCCAGACCAGAGGTCCATATAATCTAGCACCTTTCCCAGAGAAACCAGGGAATGTCTAATGCAAGGCCCATAAGTAGCATATAAGGCAATAGTCTTTTGTACCTTTTCTCCAGCAACTGATATTTAGCTACCCTTCTGTCCACACGTCACCAACTCTTTTTCCATTGGTCCATTTACTGATACCTTAGCAGTAGCCATGGTAAGACCCACACAGAGCTCTATCAATTTTGTTATGGTGTGACACCAGTAGCTCTCTTGGTGTTGCTGGCAGATGTTGTTTTTAATATTGTCTCACAGCTTTTGCCTGGACAATGCAAAGTAAGTTCTTTACTCCATCCTAATTGCCATGAAATCAAATTCTCTGCTGCTGCTGCTGCTGCTGCTTTAGTGTATCTTTAACATACAATTAATTGTATCTAAACATCCACTTAAAGATGGAAATCATAAGACTGTCATTTTTTTCATCTATGTTTCAGTGCTAAAAATGGTTTTGCATGAGCAGATCTTCTGTTTCTCAGTTATTGTTCCTTGTGGAAACAACTGTTTTCACACTGTCAAAAGGAGGCAGGACGGAAATCACCTCTAAGAATACAACTCAGATTATGTTCAATTTGTTGCTCCTGCCAATGTTTGCAAGACCTTCAGATATATCTTCCAGTTAAATGGCATCTTGTTAAAAATTACTGAGAACAAGACATTGTTTTTAATATTAGAGTCAAATGTGGAGGGTAAGGTAATTCTGAAATAACTGCACTTGGAGGATAGACAAGACTGCAATTTGATTTTCCTCTGTAGCCTCCAAATACATTATGATTGCAAAGAAATCTCAGAATCAATCCGATGGGTATAAATAGGTAGCCTTCACCTAACCTTCCAACAGTACACTGTCAGTTCCATGAATGCAGAAATAGAAATAAGCTGTTTGCGTAGACTACTCTGTAATTTTGAGTTCAACATCAGACAATATAGATAGGAAAACAACTATGAAGCAGAAAGGCCTGCTTGCTAGGTATGATCTATGTTACAATGTCATTTTCACAGTCACGCAGAACTGATATCTCTTAAATCCTGTGCACATGGTCAAAAGTAATCATTTATAATCCAGGCTATAGTGAGCATTTTTTGAAATGCAGTAGCTGTATGAAAGTATATACAGATCTTTAGATTCTTTACTAAAATGTTTGACAATAATGTGATAAGAGTACATGCCCTACATGTGTAATAGTATGTGGGCTGATTAACTCTTCATTTTATTATTCTTTGTAATGTATTCTGGGAGAGAAAACACTTTTGCAGTGAAACATATTTAATACGACATGGGCCAATGTGTATTTCTTACAGCAGTGCATATTTTGTTAAGGAACATAAAGAGAAAAAGCTGTCAGTGCTGCTAACTAGAAACATGATTTGTATATTTTCCCTGAAGTGCAAAGCAGAACTATGTTATTCCCTTTGAATAGGTCATAATCATCTGTCATCCTCAGCTATAAACAAGCAAACCTGCTGGCGAAACTGTTGTCCACTGTTATATGGTTACATTTAAGTGCAAGACCTTTGGTGTATGACCTTTGTATACAGGCCATTTCCATGTACTGTGTCTTTGTTTTATAGAAATCCTCAAACACCAGGCAAAATATAATTGATTTGACCTATCTTGTACAGTTAGTGACTCTTGGAAAATATATAATTTTCCCTTTGATTCACCCACGTCTATTTCTGTGTCATTAATATTAATCTGAGGGTTGAATAGGTGCTGTTAAGTTATGGTTAGCAGCTAAGACTATTTAAAAACAGCTGGGAATTTATTTATTTATTTTTTTCTGAGATTTCTTCTCACTCCAGGCAGAGAGGAAACGTTTAGTCTTTGCCTAGCAGGAATTTTATTAAAAATTGTTATGAGACTCAACCCCACACACCCCACTTTAAACTCAATGAAGACAGCTTTTAGGCCTGGTAGCCTGATAACTGAAGTGATAACTGGGAAATCATAGTTCAAATTAATCCTGAGTTATTTTAAATTTAAGTTCCAATTTGAATGTGTAGTTTGTTCTAACCCTAACCTTAATAACCTAATTCTTCAGTGTTTAATTTAGCCAATAAGCATTAATAAGTAGGAGCCTCAGGTGGTAGGAAATCTAGGGCAGTTTTGATAAATCAGGTGCTATAGGAAAGTGTGCCTTTACATAGTATCCTTCTCCAGTGATGCAAAGAGATCTGGGTCTGGCCATAAAAGCAGGATCTTTCCCTCATTCTTCTACCATGGATGGATAATGTCTAGTGATATAATTTCAAATCCTGTCCTAAGTATGATTTCCCATTCTAGGAACAGTCAATGTAAAGTGACAAGGGCTTTGTTTGTTTTTGAAGAGGGTCAGTTCTGGTAGAGCTCCACTTGCAGCGTACCAACTGGGATGCCTGCACACATGTGTGAGACAGGATCCTTTTTAGACAAAATAATGTTTTTTTCCTCCTTCCCTTTGTTACGAAGGAGATTTTATTATATTAAAATAAAAAATCTTAATTAAAATGTAATTAAAACAATTTAAATTAATTAAAATGTATACTTATTTCTAACCCTAATTGTTATACCTTGATTGACTGAGCATGCACCATCAAGTTGTTTTCAACTCCTAGTGACCACATACAGTAGATTTTCTCCATGACGATCTATCCCTAACCTGTTCTTTCAAGTCTTCCCACTTATGCTGCCTTAAAACCCAGTGGGAAGCGGAG